GCTGGTGGCTGAGCTCGTGCGACTCGGGGTGCTGTCCGTACACCGGCTTGTTGTAGTCCTGGCCGTACGCCTGGCCGGCGTACTGGGCGCCGCCCTGGGCGTGCGTCTGCGGTGCGTATGGCTGGTAGGCGCCGCTCTGCTGGTAGTGGAGGTTGGGCTGGGGGGCGTGGGGCCCGTAGCCGGTGGCGGGGTTCACGGCGGGGGCGTACTGCAGGGTCCCCTTGCGGTCCTTGTGGAAGATGATGGCGGCGTAGATGAGGAGGCCGACGAAGGAGAGGCTGTGGGCGGGCACCAGGTCAGCAAAGGGCCAGGGGAGAAAGTGGAGGTGGGGGCAAGCAGGCATGGTATGCGACTCACTAGATGATGACAGCGATGGCCGTGGACGCGGCATTGGCGCGCGCGCCGACAAAGGACAGCGCGAACAGGACGGTCCAGACGAACGTCTGGATGACGTTGATGATGAGGAAGAATTTGGGCGACAAGTTTCTTCGCGCGCGCTTGATGATGGCGACGAGGTCGAGCGATAAGCAGAGGGCGAGGATGATCATGATGACGACCCAGATGGCAATGACGGCGTTGGGCGAGAGGTTCGTGCCAAATTCGGTCTCGAAGTGGGAAATATCGTCCTTGTAGCGAACCACGAGGCTGATGGCGAGGATGTACACGACGACATTGATGGCCATGACAAAGATGCGAACGCACCAGAAGGGGATCAAGATGCGTTTGAGAAAAGGCGAGGTGTCGCCGACATTGTGTTGGCCCATGGTCGCGAGATTCTTTGGTGGCTGTGACTGAGGTGTGGTTTCCTCTAGGGGTTCTACTGTCGCTTGCCGATGGTACTCGTGCGAAACTCGTTGATAGAGAACCTTAGAAGAGGCGATAGACTGGTAGTGGAGGTGGGACAACAAGGCAGAGATGGTAGGTGACAGCTGCTCGACGAAGAAAAATGAGCTCCAATGACCCTTATACGGCTCTTCATTTCCCGTCTTACTTTCCACGATAATTCTACCCCTGCCGACGGTTCAGCCCAAAGATTCGCCTAAGCTTCTTGTGCCAGGTTGCAGCACTTGGTGCTGCTCTAGGGGTCACAGGTGCACTGCATTTCC